TCCATTACTATCATTATTATTATTATTATTATTACCATTCTACACGTAGCCAAAGTTAATGAGGAGAGCTGCAAACGTAGCCGCACTTAATATTAATTATATTAATTAAAGATTGCTATCTGATAAACGCACAGCGTGTTGCAAATAATCACAATGTTGTAGGTGTCTAGGCAGAGGTGTGAGCATGTGGGCGTGCCCCAACTGCTAAGCAGTCAGACACTAACTGTGTGCCAGTATTAGAAAGATGAAACTTACATATATTAAGCAATGCCATAAATTGTCAGTTTACATATCATATATAAGTGAAGGGGAGAGGATGATTAGGCGTGATTTAAGATAAAGATAAAAGTCATATGTTGAATGATGTAGAGTATTTATAATATATAAACAGAAAGCAAAGCATGTAGATTAGGTACTTTAATGTTATTTGTAGATGCATCAATAAATTGTACATATACAAACAGTTGTAGTCATATGATATAGTGGAAAAATTGCGAAAAGCTTAATAATTTTGTTTTAACTAGTTAAAGATACAAGTATTCTTAATAATAACTCAGCTTTCATTAAATGTATGCAAAAATGAGAAATTTATATACTCTATAACCAGTTTATTATAATAGACAATGACACATTAGATTATTTTATTTCTATTGAAACAATCATTTGATATAATAGAACTAATCAGTACAACATATATAATATGAATAAAAATTAAAAATTATATATTATATATACCTATGCAATATTGCAACAATTTCGTATAGTTAAAGCTTTTGCTGACAGAGTTTTAAGCAAGGACAAGATCTCGATCTCTAGCAGATCTCCATCAATACAATCAATCTAAAATGTGTTCAACTCTCTCTATAAAGCGAGCTTTATGACACATTTAGAAAATCAACTTTAGATATCTACAAGCTAAACTGAACTAGTTTAGTTATAAAATCAAATATCTTAACTATGATTTTTTATATGAAATTTAGTTGGTAAACATTATAATTTGCTCTGCCGACTAGAAATTGGCATAGAGTGCAAATGATCGGCGCATTTTAGAATAAAATACTTCGATTCACTTTCTCGGCCAGCCTCAAGAGCCATTAAGCTGTCCCAGTTGCAAGCGGGCAAAACTATTAACAACGGCTCGCTGTGGGCCTGGCTATGTAGGTTGCGATCGGCGGGGCTTGGGTAGCGGATCGACAGCGGCTCTGGGCGTTAAATACAGGCTGCAGTTTCTATAAATCAGGCATATTTCTCAACACCTTTTTTTTTGGTCATTTTTTGTACTGCCGAACCGCTCATTAAAAACCATTAAGCAGAATATTCAACTGTGAAAAATTATGGCGTAAATGATACCCCGCGCGACAATAAACGATCTAGCGCGGGGGCGCAGAGTGCTGCGGTACTGTTTGGGGGTCTGCAGCGCTATGGCCTGGAGGCCGGCATTGAGGCCCGCAGTTTGAGCTCGCAATTCAACTAAACGCGTTGCGAACTTAACTCGGTTTCTGTGTCATTTTCTTGTCTGCAAGTCGAGTTGAGCGTCAAATAAATTTTCGTCTACGTTGAAACAACAGCGAAATGGAAAACAACAACAGCAACAACAGTAACGAGCACAACAACAACAGAAATGTATCTAAAACTATTCCCATTGCGGCTGCGTTCTTTGTGGCTGGTTGCCAACGTTTGTTGTTGTTGTTGTTGTTGTTGCAGCGAGCATTTGCAACAATTTGTTATTGGCCATTTAAGCCGTTTGTTGTTGCTGGTGTTGGTGTTGGTGTTGGCCATTGGCGCTGCGCACCAGAAATCTGTTGAGTGTTAATGACATTTTTATGTTTTAACGCTTGAAAAAGCTGCAACATCGACTACCATTTTGGTGGCCTGGCCCCGTCTTTGGCCCCTGTGCGGCCATTCGAATGGGGAATGGGGAATGGGCAATGGGCAATGGGAAAGCAAGTCCAATTGAAATGCCGCCTTAGCCCCAACTGCGGCTCCATCTCTGCGCCGGGCTCTGCGAATGCTCCGTTTCTGTTTGCCCTGACGTCTGAAATGTTGCAAATGTTGGCAATGTTGCGGCTTATGCTGAGTTATTGACTGCCGAGAGTGTGGATCGGTTAGGTATGTGTGGCTAGGGTGAAATGTGCCAGGCGGCAGCTGGCAGGTGGCTGTGGCCAATATGTGAAAGGTGGGGCAAAGGTTTATTAAGCCACTGAATTTTGTTTAATTGAAGAGTACTCGAAAAAAACTTGAGAAAAATTTAAGTGCGCCTCTCTTTCAGGTAAAGAAAATATGTGGGAGTGAGAAGGTGGCCAAAGAGAGGACAAGGCAAGGTCAAGGCAAGAGACTGCATCAAAGTTAATTTGCTTAGTGTAGTGTAAAGACAGCTCTTGAGAATCGCAAAGAAGAGCACTGCTTATTTAAAATACATAAAGCAGCTGTTGCTAAGTCTTATGGACCAACTTGATGATTCTCTTTATGTTTTAGCGTTCTGCTTGTGCTTCTGCTTCCCTTTCCTTGCCGCCGTTTGCATCTTTCAATTAGATTCAATTCATGGTCGAAACTTGTGTCAACATTAATTAATTTCCAGCGAAACTTTTGAGCAGCTAATTGGATTTTGGTTGCCAGCAGAGCGAAAGCAAAAACAACCTTCGAACAAAACAAAAACTCACAAAAAACTAAAACAAATTCGCGTGCAAATGCGCACTAATAACTACTGCCGTTCGAGGACAACACCAAAGCGAGAGAGAAGCCCAAATAAAAGAAATAATCCCTAGCAAGTTTGCGGCAGCTCATGAGCGTCAGCGTAAAGGAAGTGCTGCTATTAAATTGTATTTTATTTTGGACGCCCGCATTTCCCTTATTTTTTTGTGCGGAATATTCCTTTGTTTCAGGCTTCACTGGTGCTGAAATTTCGCAAATGTTTTCTTTTGGCCATTTCGTTGGCGGCTTTCGGCTGCCATTTTAATGATTTACGTCGCTTAAACGAATTTCATTTCGGGCAGGTGGCACGACGCCTGCTGCCAGGCAGTGGCGGCAGCAGGGGCAACGGCTGTGGCAGTGCCAGTCAGACTGTCAGAACAACTGTTTGAGTTGCAGGCTACGTTTCGCACGGCTCAGTGCGGAATGAAGTGCGTGTGTGTGGGTGTGTTTGTGTGTGGGTGGCCTCTGCACAATTTAGCCAAGTGCAACGACTTCGCATGCGCTTCCTGCCGAAATAAGGAACACACAAACTAATAACACTTAACTGCGCCAGGCCGAAAGCTAAGCGTTAATTATGGCAAACTTTGCCATGCCGTCTAAAGTGTTTCCCCATAAGACATACAAAAGCTGGCAGCTACTGAACTCTGGCTCCACTCACCCCAACAATCGTCTGCACCCAGACTGCACCGACTCCTCTCCTTGTGGGCCAAATGCATGTCGCTACATATCAACAAAGGATGCAGTTGCCTAGGCTCCAGCTCCAGCTCAGGCTACGGCTCCTGTTCTTCTTCTTGTTGGTGTTGTTGTTTTCGACTCTTTTTTTTGTTTTTTGCGTTGTTTTTTGTTGGTTCTGCAGACTTCAGTCAATGCACTCTCTATGGCGACGTCGTCTGACTGCACAAAATGAAAAAGTTTCGAAATAAATGCTGAAAACCAAAGCCCAAATGGAAAAACTTAAAAAAAAAATATGAATTGCAGCAGCATTTAGGCCTCAAAGTATCCGACTTAAGCATGCCCTCTGCTAATATTTAATAAACAAAATACAGCTATTATTTATCAAAGGGTAGAAGGGTATAAAAAGTGTTTCCCTACCTAACTTTTATGCCCAGTAAAAGCTGCAAACTTTTATATAAAACTTTAACTAGTTGCTCATAGCCTATCTGTCAGCTTTTTATAGGGTATTCGAGCTGCAGCCCCCTCTTAGCAAACACACAAAAAAGTAGAAAAAACTCGTTGCATTTTTGCACAAGAAAAAAAATTATTATTAACGCCTGTTGGATATGCCACAGGACGATGTCTGCGCCGACTCCAGCTCCAGCTCCAGCTTCAGCTTCGTCTCCAGCTTCAGCTCTGGCTACTGTGCACACACTTTTCGTCATGTTGTTGTCGTTGCATGTTTTATTTTTGTTTTTTGTTTACTTTTTTTTTTGGTGCATTTGCCTGCAGCAGCAGCAGCAGCGCTTTGGATGCAAAATGCATCTAGGCAAAAAAAGAAAAACAGCAACAACAACAACAGCAAACATGTCGCAGCTGCTGGCAGCCAGAAGGAGCTGACGAAGTTTAGAGCTTGGGGTAGTAGGCGTAGTCTACATGACTGGCTGCTGTCCCGACGACAAATCTCTTGCGTCCTGCCCTGCAGCCGACTCCTGCTCCGGTCATTAGGCGCTGCTGCTGCACTTGGCTCCTGCTTGCACTTCAGCCTGCCAGCCAGTCGGATTTGGGCCTGCATCCTGAGCGGGCTCGTCATTGCCGACGTCAGCGGACGTTACGTGTCTCAGGCAGTTGCAAATTACGCTCTCAGACTCAATTGTCTTGCGCCTCGGAGACTAGCAAAAACAACAACAAAACCAACAACAACAATGGCTGCATTTAACGCAATCTTTTGCTGGCTAGACAGACAGCCACAGACGGTCCAGAGCTTCAACTTTGAATCCAATTGCAATGCAAGACATTCCCTCGACACAGGCCAGCAGGAGGCGTGGCTGGCTGGCTGGCAGAAGCGTCGCGTCATCGTCGCGACATGCACTTCAAAAAATTTGTATATATATGTATATATAGGGAAGTATATGTTCATTAGAATGTGTTGAAGTTGCTGCTTGAACGCCCCGAAGTAGGCAACACTTTGCCAAGTGCTCGATTGCTGTGTAAAGACTCCAAATTTTGGGTACAGTTGCGTTTGGATTAAACAAAATGTATAAAATGTTGAATGAGTTGAATGAGTTTACAATTGCAATCAAATTGATTTGATATCATAAATGATTCATGTTGTTAAATGTATTTAAAAATAATTTTCCTTTTTGTCATTTCAGAGTTCGTTCATGTATTTATGAGGTATGTAAAAGTAAATGAAATATGTAAAGACTCAAGCTGAGAGCCGCTTACAGTCTGACCAAAAATAACAACAACAAATAACAAGACAGTTATAATAGCAATAAAAACTGAGGTAAAATCATAAATGAATCTTTTATGACAAGTGCGTGGGCTGGGCTGCTGGCTGCTGGCTGTGGCTGTCCAAATGATGTGTGTGTATGTTTGGAAAGCCATCAACATCATCAGCAACAACATGTCAAACGGCAGCCGCCAACTTGTAGAAGAAGAAAACGAGGTAACGATAAAAAATTAAATACGGCACCAGCATCAGCGAAAAAGGGCCGAGCCCCGAAATAAAGTAGTTAAAGGCATACAAAAGGCCGGCCAAAACGGCAGCTCGATGTCTTATTAGAGGCAGAGTGAGAGAAGGAGGGAAAAGCAGGCGGGCTCTGATTGACAACTATGTTGAAATATCAAATTAAAATTTCATAAATAGTTGAAAAATAAAAGCTAAGCGGCTTTATAATAAGGTAATTGCCATGGCTATTAGGCCTGGGCGTGGCAGCCGCCAGATCTCTTGGCTCTGATTGAAGGTCAATGACAACACGTAATTGATTATTAACCGTCAATGGCCATAGAGAAATCTCAGCACTAATGACAGATTGAAAATGAAAAACATGTTTTAATTTCATGCTTAAGATATCGTATTAGTAGCGGCATTTTAATTGCCACTATCTATATGTATATATCTCTTAGAGCCAGCCTTGGCACCAACCACCGACCACCGACCACAGCTCGTGAACTAGAAGAAGCAAACCAAAAGCCATAAAACTGCAATATCTTTGGCCGTTCATACGAGCTGCGCTTGCCCCCCTCCCACCGCTCCTTATGACGTATATTGTTATTGGGAGGTGCCACATAAGTAACAGCGCCACAGTTGCTGCAGGCCCCAAACAATGTTCACACCGCTGCAATATAATATAATGTTTCTGTGGAAAACCAATCAATGCAATGCAATTTCCATTAGGCTTGCCAAGGCGCGTCGTCCGCAGATCTCATATGTGTGCTCCAGCAAATTATGTTCATTGGAAAGTGTAGGAGGTTTCGCTGAGGAAACTCACTAACTGTTAGGCAAAAGTTGATAATCAACAGCTAAACTGGCTGCAGAGCCCGAGCATATGCCCCTACATAAATCACAATCTATTCCAAAGAGCTATTCAATATTAAAATTAAAAGAGAAGAAACCCATAAAAATATTGTAAAATAAATCACAATGTGAACTTGTTATTGTGAATAAAAACACATTCCATTGTGATTAAGTAAGAACAACTATCAACTAGCTTGTAAATCATAAATCTTAACACGTGACAAAATGCTGATAATTAATGTTTCAGCGCACAGCATTCAATAATTAACTCTCGTCTCCCGGTCAGGCGGCAAAAGTTTCTCCACTTTGGTCACAATCATAATTAATAGACATTTTATTCAAATTGTTATTTGTTTTTTTTTTTTCTGATTTATTTATTCTTTGTATATTTGTTTAGATAAGTTGGGTGATATAGGCTCTGAAGGTTTTCAAAGCCAAGTTTGTTTCTGCTCAACTTTGCTTACATTTCATACGACAAAAGATTTTGCTTCTGACTGCCTGATTGATTGATTGATGATTAGACACTAAATGCTTGGAAGTTGAAGTTGCTTTTCGCTTGAAGGTGATATATGAGTGGGCTTGGGGCTTTGTCTTGACTAGTTCTTGACTAGTTCGGGACTAGTTCTGAAATCCTGCAGAAAGCAAATTTTTTATCTCCTAACGCTAATTCGATATATTTTTATGACTCATCTTTGAAGACTGCACAGGAAATCGTTTGGCTGTAAATCAATAAACGTAGAAAATCTATTTAAAGTGTGATTTCCACAGCTGACACACGTGTGCATATTCATAAGGCTGGAGGAGTAGCCTAAGCCCACCGCCTCCTCCCACCTGCCAGCCAGCTCCCTCCGTTTCTCTTTGTCTGATAATTACAGCAGTCGGACCGCAAGCTGTGCAGAATTTTTAGTTTACGAGCATATAAATGTAATTGGATGCGCAAAAATAGTGGTAGGTTAGCCGGGCGAGTGTGTTTATAAATTTAACAGAGAGCCTCTGTCAGCTTTTGCCTGTCATTTGGTGTGCAGTTGCCCGGCAATTTGCAACGCCAGCAACTGCTGCAACAACCAAGCGGCGGCGGCGGCTGTTGCATTGCGCATGGGCAAAGGCAAAACGTGTCATCATCGATTACGCAGAGCCGAAGCAGGCAGTTTCTAGCTGTAGGCAGCAGCAACAGCAGCAGTAGCTGCAGCTTGGACAAACAAGTTGCTGCCGCTGCAGTTGCAATCGCTTTGTGTTATCGCTGCAGCCAGGATGATGACGCCGGCAATGGCAATCCCCCAGGCGCGTAACTCAAAGCGACAACACTTGACACTAATTAATACATACGCACCATACACCATGCGCGCTGCACGCTGCACGTTGCAAGTTGCACGTTGCACGTTGCAGCTGCCACCCACTCGGCATGTCGACGCGCTCGTCGCATTTCAATCAAGTCCATGCCAGACAGACAGATAGACAGTCAGTCAGTCAGTCAGTCAGTCACCGTTGAGATTTAGTCGTGATAAAGTTGTTTGAAAGTGTTGCAGCTTGCAGCTTGCCGCACGCACACACACTCACACAGTTGAGTGCTTAACTGGCACATTGTGTGTGTTGCACAGAGAGACGGTGGGCGGGGGCGGTGGGCGGTATGTCGTGGTGCAGTGACTACTTCTGTGTGCTATTGTGCCCGCTGCTGTTGATGCTTATCAGTGTGTCGCGTCCGTTAGCTTGGCTTAGTTTCAACACGCAGTCAGGCTTGCTGATAATATGCATTTACCGTTGCATTTCCTACACATTTCCTAGCTAGACCAAAAGTCGGCACAAATTTGTCGTCATGAAAATTGAAAGAAAAGTGTAGAAAATTTGTCTAGATTTTCAGTTAAGTTAAGACACGCGTTGCCTAGCCATATGCATAGGGTTGAATGTTGACTAGGCAATGGAGTTTAGTTTGAGAATGAAATGTAAATTAGTTAAGCATTAGCTATAGCATATAAAAAATAGTATTTTAAAGGCTAATCAGAGCTGAGTTGAGCTTTCAGGTTTTTTATGCAAATGGCTTATGAATGAAGGCTTCAGCTCAGGTAAAGCCGGAAAGAATCCAATTATTAATATTATTTAAATATATTTATATTTTTAATTTTAATAATTGTATATATATTTATAACATATATATTATATTATTTTATAATATATATATTAAGTTTTATATATATATTTAAGTCTAATGCTAAATCTCGGCGCTGTATAATGAGCCGGATATCAATAAATTGACAGGATATTGTGATTGCCTGTCAATTATTTTCGCTAAAAACATAAACATAAATAATAAATAATATGCAAATTATACGCGAATCTGTCATATTTTGAGCAAATATGTAAATTTTTGTTATATTGAAAATTTCTCTGTCATTAGCCAAGCCGCATAAAGCTGAACGGCTCATTAAAAGGCAATTAAAAGTGTGCATAGAAATTGAATGTGTGTAGCTAGATATTCATATATAATATGCAACATATGTATATGTATATATATGCATATTTGATATATGTGAGTGGTCAATCAGTCATATATTCATATCCATATCAAAGCGAGCGAATTGTGAACGATGATCGATGAAGTCTGGGCTTGATCTTTGACGTCTGTTGCCGAAATTCGATATCGAAATCAAAAATGAAAACGTAATCGGAAATGGAAATCGGTAACTGCCTTTTTTCTTTTTTTTTTGATAACAATGGCAGCTGCGGCAGTTGCAAATGGCATTAATTTGGGGCTCTTTAAAGACAACTTTGACACCGAATGTTGAATAAACGCTTAATTAACACTCAATAGCGCGGCTAATGCCAACGGGGCCAGCGGGTGCTGGTGCGGGAGCGGGTGCGGGTGGCGCGGGGAGGTGAGGAGACGTGGTAAATTGCGGCAATTGAAGGCGCGACGAATGCAACTCAAGAGAGACCCCCAAACAACAGCGAGCAAAATAAAAATCAGCAGACAAAAATTAAAGTTTTCAAAGTAAACAACGCAAATTGACATTTTGGCTCTCGACAAGGCAGACAGGCAGCAGAAATGTTTGTGCAACGCTGGGGCAAGCCCAGCAGGTCGCCAATCGAAAATGACAGTTGCAGTTATTTTATTTCTATTTCTATTTTTATTTCGATTTTTTTTTTTTTTGGCAATCGCTGAAAATCTCAGGCAAAGTCACTAAATGACTAACTTTGTTCGACGCTTTGGTGTAGCGGTGTTCGACAAGCGGCATTGAATGTTGAATGCTGAATGTTGCATGTTGCATGTTGACTATTGACTGTTTGGACGCTTGGCCAATTGGCCAAGGCGGAAAGTGAAAAGCTGCCAGATGAAAACCGTTCGCGCAACACCTGAGGGCAAGGAGCTGCAGTTGCGTCATGCTGCAAGCAATGCAGTCGCAGCAACTGTTGCTCTGTTTGTGTGTGTGTGTGTGTGTATGTGTGCGGGTGCACGAGCAATCGATGATCGCGTTGAAATCTGCTCGCATGTAACGTTTAAATTTGTTAAAATCAGCGTTGGAAAGTCTTCAGCTGTGGCAGGATTGAAGCGAGCGAGCGAGATGAGGCGGGGCGGGGCCATTGCAAGTTGCCTGTGTTGCCTGTTGGAAGTTGCCTGGTGCATTGCGGCTTTTCATGCCTTTTTGAGCAAACAAGAGTTGCACGATTTTCTTGTAATTTTCCGCAGTTTGGCTTTTAAAGCTTGGCTTAAAGCGACAGCCCCCAATAGTCCCGCAACGGCCCGAAGCCCCGCTCTGAGCCAAGTGCGCGCCATATAAATCTACAATGTTTGTTTAATTTCGTGTGTTTCTTTTTTGTTTTAATTTGTCTGCAAAAAATTGGCCAACAAACAAGAAAAACAAAACGAAATTTGGCTAAT